GTTTGGGTAAAATTAGAGCCCCGGAAAACAAAGGTTTGTTTCCAATGCGAAGGAATGGGGATTTCGCCGGGGGGGGTCAGGGGGAAAAAACGCCGGTCGCCGACAGGTGGAGGATTTTTGAGGACCCGTGTCAGATATCCCCCTCGTCCCCGCCGCCGCCCTCACCCGTCCCCGAGCCTCCCCCGCCGCCGTGCGAGCTACCGTGGCGGGAGGTTACGACGCGGCGGAAGTGCGACGAGACGACAGCACGGACGCAGGACATTGGGCGGAACTCGGAGTGCAATCATGGCGCTGGTCGCGTCGTTGCTTCTCGCGAGCACGTTCCACGACGGCGACGCGCTGCACTTTGGGCTGAGAGAGTCTTTGGCGGTGCTCACCATGTCGATCGCCCAGGTCTCGAGCCCGATCGTGCCCAACGCGCTCATGCCGGGCAACACGCGCCGGCTCGGCCGCGCGTATGGCGTCACCGAGTCGATCTTTATCCTCGTGCAGATGGGCCTCGCGCTGCTGGTTGGAGCGAGCCGCTCCGTAGCTGGCTACCGTGGCGCCCTCACTCTCATCTCTGGCGGCCTCCTCTGCGCGCTCGGCCTCTCTGCCGTGCTCGCGCCGCGGGTGAACGAGGTTGACACCGTGCGCAGCTCTCGGCTGTGGCCGTGGCGGCGCTCGGGCGGCGGTCAGACCTACAGCTACACCTAGCGCGCGAAGACCCCGACGAGCAGCGCGCAGTGCCGATTGACGCCGTGGCCACACGCCCGACCGCGGGGCCACGAGGTTGTGGCGTCCGATTCGATAAAAAGGGAGACTGTGTATCTAAAAAGTATGAGCCCGATCCGTCGCAGTGTTAAGGCTTAAGCTACAAGCGCTTGCCAAGGGGCTTGCGCTTCGGCGGTTAGTGGTGCACTAACCTCCGAGAAACCCATCGGGGATCGGGCCGCTTCTCATCGCAAACCCTGTCAGCAGAGAGATCACCTCACACTGGGGGTCGTGCGGTCGCGGCCATGGCAGTGAACACGCCATACACACCCAACCTCTCCGCGCACAGCCACCGCGCTGAACGCGATGAACCACGTACGTTACTCCCTGCTCCTGCCTAGGCAAGGCCGGCCGCACAGCAGCCAGCCGGCTGCGAGCGTCGAGCAGATCTGCGAGGTCGACGGAAATGGTCACTGACAAGTTGTTGGCATGGCCGCAGCACGGGCACTCAGTGCCTCCAACCGGGCCACGATCGCCTTTCGGCGTCTCCGGCACTCCCCCCGCTGCGCCTCGCTCAGCCCGTCGAGAGGCGCCGCGTCGACAAGCTCAAACAGGCGCGTGAGCTCCTCCTCGTGCGGCGCGTCGCCAGCAGCAACCGCCGCCTCAAACCGCTCGAGCGTAGCAGAGGCAGACCCGAGCGCGGCGAGAGCCTATCGTATAAGGCGACATCCCAACCGCTGACCACCGGGACGGTAAAGGCGTGTGTGCCACACACGATGTCACCTTGCCAAGCGCTGTCGGCGACGCAATCGTGGTGAGGATGAGGCGGTCCCGGTCGGCGACGTTGGCGTCGGACAGCGTTGTGCCTGACACCGTGCAGCGAAGCGATGAGCGAGTACATGTACGGCGCGAGAGAAAGCTAAGGAGAGGAGAGCCGTCTGCAGGCAGTATCAAGTTGCCGAGCGAGAGCACTCCGTCAACTGACCCGCTTAGGCACGTGCTGCCCATCCTCTGCAGAAGCTCGGCGACAGTGTAGGACCCGGCGGCGACCACCTCGTGCCGCACGCCGTCGACGACGATAAGCAGTTTCATGC